ACCTAGGCAATCCAGATTTATAATGTGTGACGATTGTAAAGGGTACCTATAATTGAGTCGATGGCGCGTGACATAACAATACGACTAAGCTTTTTCATCTATATTTATTTATGGTTAAGTCTACTAGACTTCTAGTCACTTATCAGATTTGTCACGGATAACTGCAGTCTGTAAAATGCGTGTATCACATTGCATGACCACTGGTGCTCAGTAGAGCGTCATCTTCAGAATTGAATCGTTCCTCATTATCCTTGTTTACGCGTTGTTTTCTTTGAGACCAACTTGTATGATCTTTTTCTGTAGCTTACATGGCATGCCTTTGACTTCTTTTGCCTTCGTCTTCTGCAACACCGTCGTCAGTAAATCGAAGACAATTCAGTCGTCGCTTGTCGTTGATTCAAAATTCTTAATTCCATTTCATTTGCATAATTTCCACTCACAGCATCCAGTAAACAGTTTTAGCAATATTACGTCTCGTTGACGAATTGCACGAAAAACTTTCATTTGACAAGATCTCACAGCTGATAAATCTTCGTATTGCAACTTGAGTATCCATTTTATACAATTCACATATATCGTTCTTCCATTCCTTGCTAATCCTACACCCTCCCTTATGTCCCCCCCCCCATCATGAATACCTCTTTGTAGGCAACCGTTATCATATATAAGGACGATTTGTACACGTCAATCATTTCGTGCAGCTTATTCAATTCACAGATTTAATCATGCGTCGAGTGTTGAACGGATTATTAAAGCAAATAATATGGTCGTGAAATTTTAATCAAACTTCAAAGTCATAAACATTTGAGAAGCAAAAAATCGTCCTTACTCATTATCGGTAACGGTAGGCTCGTTTCACGAAAACAGAATTTACTCATTGTCGACAATCCTATGCTGAGACATGGAAGAAACGCAGACAGCGAATATGTCACTGAGCAAAACACCCGTCTCATATGTAAAGTAGCAATTACAAATTAAAAGTGTTTGTAATATATGGAAATTAGGCGCATTTTAAACTCTGAAAGAATTCAAGAAAACTTTCAAAACAGCATTCCGATTCGTTGCACAATGTTCAAAATTTAACTGTATTCATTAATTGGTACAGCTTCATAAGTTGAATATATAATTGGATAATAAACTGGATAATGATGCGTAAACTTTAATGTTGGTTCGAAAAGTAGATTGATCAATCAGAACCAACAAAGTGGTCAAATTATCATCATCAACTTCCATCGCCGCTGGTCCTTTCGGATCGCGGAGGCAAACGCGTCAGACAGAGCTTCCAACGTTCCCGATCCTGTGCCAGAGTCTGAGCTTCGGCAAAAGACAAATGC